GAACCAGACAATCCTGCAAACAGACGCTATTGTTCTGGATTAATATTGGTCCTCTGCTCTTCTGTACAATCGAAACTCCATAAACTGAGTAAACGTTGACATTTTGTGTTGATTTAAGTTGAGGTTCAGATTCCTGCATAACTGTTTTGTTTTCAAAGTGATGAACTAGCTGTAAGTGGAAAATAATGGAACACTTGACACTGGTTCGATCAAATAACTACAGGAACTACAAGGGAGCAGTTAAACAGAAAGACGAGTCTGTAAATATTTCGTTAAATTAATCATTTAGCATTTACAACTGCTTATCAATGAATAACAATAGTACTATATTTTATTTCATGCCAACTTTCTGGACACCTTAAAGAAAATATCATAAGTAAACACATGAATACTTACAGTAAAACCAAGCATTAAAATTGCAAACACTTATACAACATTTGAAGAAGAAGAAATAAAAAGTAAAATCAGGTTAAGAATATATCAATTCTAAATTTCACAATAAAGACTGTGTACCTTTCCTTATTTACTTAAATTCTTTAAGCTGTTGTAATTGTGTTGTTCAACATTGACCTATTTGCCTCAATCTTATTCCAACTAATTCAGAAGATCCGATTTCCCCACAGAGTCAATTCCATTTAACATAATCAATAACCGTGGCTTAAAGAGACTGAACAGATCAAGGCACGACACTGACTTTCACAATCGAACAGTCTATCAACGCCCATCTACAGTGGGAAACCCCTCCTGCTTCTTTCAGCTGATGCTGAGTTATCATATTATTTTCCCAACCCATCCTCGTCGGTGCCATCTGCCCCAAGACGTGCAGCTGAAGCATCCTGGAACATACAGAGGGAGGGAGGGAGGGAGGGAGAAGGAAGGAGGGAGAAGGAAGGAGGGAGAAGGAAGGAGGGAGAGGTAAAGATCTGCCAAGTGACCAGGAAGTAAACCTATTGTTTTCAGGGTCCCCTCGCTTTTCCTTTCACAGCCACCAGAGGTTCTGCCCCCC